CAAAAATACTCTCTGTTGTCGTTTTGTAATTTGGTCTATCAAAAAAAGTAATGTCAATCTGAAAAAAGATTTAAAAAAAAGATTGTGGTATACTTTTTCAATACACCACCCACTAAGACTAACTCCTTCTGATCCAATTTAATACTCATTTATGACCTACTTATGATTTACAAACCCCCAACAATATCTACAACTAGAAAATCGGGCCTATATATACGAATCGCAAAGACTGAAGTCCAAAACCAAAACAATCTTCGACACGAGTTTTTTTTTAATAAACTTTTCATGGAAAATCAGATTTCATATTATCTACCCTTCATTGCTCGAGCTGCAGGGCATGGGGGCTTCCGAAATCTATATCCCTTCCTTTTCGCAGGTCGGGAAGGGAGAGATGCGGCCTATGACCGAAGTGTGTTGAAAGAGGCTGATATCGACGAGTTGTTGTTCACCCCAGCCCGAATAAACGAGCAGTCTCCTTATAGACCATTTTTCTTAAAATGTCTACGAGCAGGAAACCCTTCAGCCCTCTACATCGAAGGTCTTAGGCTTGGTTGTCAAGCTGGTCCAATAGATCGAGCTATTCTTTTACTCGAAGGAGCATCCAGACATTTGAAGTATGCAATTTTCGCACTAGCGCCGTTCTACATTTGTTCAGGCAACCAAGCCGCATCCGACCGGACCCTTGCTCCACTGTGTAGATCGCATCCGAATCAGCCTTTGTACACATGCGGTGAGGGAGGAGAGGCCGAAAAAATTTGCAACATGATATTTATGCAAATCAAGTCTATGGTCCCCGCTGAATCTGGTAGATTCGTGAAGACTTGGTCTTACAAACCGGTTCCTCAATGTGTAGCCCGAATGTGCGATGATGACTGCGATTGTTTTTTCCATTGTAGCATGGAATTACCATGTCATAGTGTTTTTTTTACTGGAACTCGATGAGGTTGTGCGAGCTTTGCTAAATGATAAAACTTGGCCAGTTTATTGTCTCCATCAAGAAATGTTGTAATGTTTATATGTTTTTCCATGATATCAACAAAGTTTATGTTTGTCTATCATTACAATCACCACGGATACCAAGACCAAAAAGCTCGGATAAAAGTAAACAAAGGGTTACGAAGTTAGGTTTCGAAAGATCCAATAATATTACATATTAAAGCTGCCATCACATACCAAAAGAGCACATACCATGTTGTAAACAAAATAGCTAAAAAAAAGAAGTGGACATCCACACTCCATAAAAAAACTTCGTGAACATTAAACACCAAAAAATCGCTACTCCGATCCTCCGACCCATCGCTAAATTGGGTATCTTGAATGTGCGAAAATGACGGACAAATTACCTAAACAAAAGAAGTGGACATCGATATTCCAACATGGACAAAATAAACATGTCGCTCCCCCGCTACACCGACCCATCGCTAGATGGGGTTCTTGCAAGTAGCTTTGTTGTGACCAACTCCCAATCATCTGCTACATTTGTGTGGATTATTTTTCTTCTTCGCTTTCCCCTGCAGTATTACTTAATTATTTTCTTGTCCACGTTGAAAATAATTGTAGACAAATAATTATACTTACTTTGGTTTCTCCTTTCGAAGGAATTCTCTTCTTCTTCGGTCTTCCTCCACCTCTTTTTGTTTTCGGAGGTTTCATTTCCACAACCTTGACTTCTTCTGGTATTATCACATCTCCCTCCTTGGGTATTGGACGAATAACTGTTTCGTACTTCCTCCTCCATGGACCAACAAAGTAACATTCACCAATAAGAGAGTAAATGTCTATATTCCTAACTCCAACTGCGGCTAATGCGTGACAACATGGAATCATCAAAACATCAAACACTTTGCATGTGCAAGTTTTACTCTGTAGATCGACTTCATATACGCAACCCATCCCATCATTGACTTGATAAATCCATTCGCTAGCCGACAAAACAGCACAATCAATAGAATCTCCAAGGTGGTCCATGAGAATATCCTCAATCTCTGGGGTGCATCGAGATTCAGTTTTTGCAGCTAGTTTCCTCCGTAAGTAGAACCATCTCATCAGCATTGTCCTAATAAACTCCACCATAGACACAATAGGATAATCCACAGCTTTCACCAACGCCGCGTTTAAAGATTCAGAAATATTGCTACTCATCAAGTTATACCTCTTTTGTGGACAATGTGCGAGTGTCCAAAAGGGAAGACCTATGTCCATTAGATATTCAATACATTTTGGTTTGCGATTGCCAATCTCTGCTAACCAAAAATCCAAATCACCAGTAGTGAAAGACCTAGCAGCATTTGAGACCATCCCAGCCAACCAAGGACATTTAAAGTTATGCTTGACGTTCCTATATAAGTGAACCGAACAAGCAGCGTGATGTGCCAAAGGATACTCGGTTTTGAGTCCAGATATTATAGCCGCATGTCGATCCGACACGAAGACAAGCTCTTCCTCGTCTAGTACTATCTCTTTTAGCTTCTTGAAAAACCATACCCAGCTGGCTTCATTCTCGTTGTCCACCACACCAAAAGCTAAGGGGTGAATTTGCATATTACCGTCTTGTGCACTGGCCGCTACAAGACACCCTTTATACCTACCTTTTAACTGAGTTCCATCAATCACAACCACCTTCCTCAAGTACTTTATCCCAGCTATAGATGCCCCCAGCGCAAAAAACATATATTTGAACACCTTCTCACCATTTTTGTCCACAGATGTGAGAACATCTGTTATTGTCCCCGGGTTAGATGTCCTCAACAAATGCAAATATGTGTTCAAATACTTGTAACTGCCTACCTCACTGCCTCTTGCCTCACAAATTGCCATCTCCTTCACATTCCAAGCTTTCATGTATGAAATTGTTACATTCAACTCCGCCAAAACCATCTCTGGTAGTTCGCATGCACGTGGACCCTTTTTGCCATTCGCAAATTTCGCTTTCATAAGTTGGGCAAGAATCCTAGCCGATGCATTCCTCCCGAACTTTGACCTATATGAGACGTCGCATGTATGCTTCAACTGAACTTTTCTTATTTCTACGTTTTTAGAATTTGCATGATTTTTTGCAAACACCCTCCATTTGCATTTAGGATCCACGCAATCTGCTATCATTCTTCCCTTGTCTGATCTCTTCACTTTGAAATGAAACAACCTCTTCATGGCGAACACACGTAAAGTGTCTCGCAGCTCCAGTTTGTTTTTGAAAACTCTTCCAACATATATAGCATCTGCAGCCTTTTTCAAATCCATGTTTCCAACTTCGTTGCCAAGACCTCTAATATTGTCTCTGAATGGCTGATCATCTAGTAACAACATTTCACAATCGTCGATACCCATAATATGATCACCTATCGGGGACAAATTATCGGGTTCTCGGGTTTCGCAATTAGCAGTTCCTATAGATAGTACCGCATCCACTCCACTCGATTCGATTGGACCAACTACATTATCAGCAGCACCAACAGCTTTGATATTCCCTCCAAAAACAATCAGCTCTTGTCCCCCACCATTGTTGTCCACCACAGTTTCACCTATATGGTTTGGTCCATATTTCCTATTTGCATTGGCGCTATCCTGTCCACAGCGTCCAACATAGGGATCCCAGTCCACAGGGTATTCCCTGTTAATCAGATCTGTCCATCTGTCAAAATCATATGTTGGTTCTTCCATTTCATCTTCATAGACGGGCTCATTATTAGTAGAGTCCCCCTCATAGACCAACCCTTTACCTTTGTCGACAGTACCAAGACCCATTACTTTGTCCACAACTTTCTCCATATTCACTCCGGGATCCACAACTTGAAAACATCCATCACTCTTCTTCAACGCGCTTTCTTCTTCAACGGATTCGCGATACAAGTCTTCAATTTGTTTACAACATGCAAGAAGTTCGTCGTCGCCCAGACTACAAACAACATCTACGACTGGAACAGTACTATCTACCTTCTCCAAGGTCAAGAACATGTTCAACCCATTGCAGTCCTTCCTTTTACTTTTAAATTTGCCGAGTGAAACTTCGCACCCTATGGAAACCGGAGGCATATGACCTTGAGTTAACACTTGCGTCTCGCCAAAAAACCAGAAGCTGAGACTTGGTCGGACCTCGTTCATGTTTAAACCATATGCTCGAACCACTCCGGCCAATAAATCTTCGTAACGTGTACCTTCGCTGAAAGAAACACATTTCGCCTGACGGTTTGGAGCTACTCGGAATTCCCACTTACCAACTTCCGAGCATATCCACTCACCAGAAATTACGAGTACTGTTTCGTCCATCAAACAAATGTCCAGCACTTGCGTTTAAATACAACATTTATTAGAAGAATGATGAACAAGAACACACATTTATTGCCGAAAAAATTAACAAACAACATTTATTACATAGATCTTACCAAAATACCTGAAGTAAATGCATTAAAATCAACTTTAAAAATTTAAAATTTTGTCTACAATAACAAAAAAACACAAACATTTATACTCTTAAAGATCTTACAAGTTTGGTGGACAACCAACTAAAATTTCTCTGTTTCGACTCCACAAAATCGAAATCGCCGTTCGTCTTCAAACAAATGGAATCGTGTTTTCTTTTAAATTGTAGACAACAACTCTAAATCAAGGGATCTCCTAAATCAATATCTCTCTGATTGTTAAAGTAAACCAGCCACTCTTTTATCCAGTAAATAAATTTTAGCACTTGATTACCAACAATTAATGCACCATTAATGCAGTTGTACGACCTACGAGCTTACGCAATCAGACTAGGTTTTTTAGTTTGTTTTTACAGTCAGACAGGTATCCCATCACGTAGTCTCGCGCCAATGTCCATGAGGGCAAACTCGTATCTTCCATGTGCCACGAAATCGAAATATGACCTGTTTCCGAAACGACTTTTTTTAAATGGTATTAAATAAAATGAAAACACGATTCGAGGGTAGAGCGGTTAAAAATCTCATTTTTTTACTCTAGACTAGCAGAGTAAGCGCGGGTCTTTAAATAAATAGTTGACTTTGTTTTGCAAAGCTAATGGGCCACTAGGCCGACTGAGAAAGTTATGGGTCCTTAAAGAAAGTTACATAAACCCATAAACTTTCTTTCTTCATTTTGATTTTGTGTGTTGCCCGTCTAATTAAATTCCTACTAAAAAAAATGTGGAGAAGGAAGATGTGGAAGAAACTGAATTGGTTTTGTGTGGTACTTGTCTCCATTTCATTTGGCAATTAGATGTAGCCATATAAAACTAGTTTGACCAAATTTGAATGGGTGATTTGCATGTTAAGACACTTTTGATGAAAGTTCTTACACTTTAGACACTTTAGAAATATGAGGCACTTTACCTTGTTTTTGGAATAAAGATAGACAATTTTGCCCCTCATTTAACTAAAGCTATGTTACACACTTTCTCTCTTCTCTCGTTCCATAAGAAATATTAGTTAGAAACAAATGCCCAGATGTGAAACAAAATTATCTCTCTCTTCGCTCTGCTTTCTCCCCTTCCATGAAAATTCCTAGATCTTAGAGATATAATCTTCTCATAAAATATTTCGATTGGTCGCCGCCGTCACCGAGGCAATGACATATTTGCTTTTGATGAAGTAGAAACTGGGAATAATAACGACGGTGATAAGTTAGGGAGTTTTGTCACTGGCGTAGGCTACGGCGCAGCTAGGTTGGCTCGCCGGACCGGTGATTTAATACAGATTGTATTGGTCTGAACTAAGATCACGAGGGATGTTTCAATTGGGGAAGAAGAAAAATCGAATCGTTGTTTATAACAAGAAATTCATTGATAAATGGTTTGGGAGAGGTAAGAGCAACTTTAACCAAATTTGATTCTCTCTGGAATTGGATTTTTACTTGCTTTATCTGGTTTTTAAGAGCAGCTTCATCTAAACATCAAAACATAAACTTGTTTAGATAAATGATCATAAACCAATGTTTCTTATGAGATTTGAGGAATTCAAAAAGCAGAGCATGTACTTGATGTCTTTAGAGAATTGTCAGGGATGGTCTTGGAAGAAGACAAGAGAGTGTTGTTATAAGAAACTGATGCCATTGCTTTAATCTTGCAAAAGTTTAACTTTTTTGATATAAAACTCAGTGAAAAATCGATCTTGAATCCATATTGAGAGATTGTGGAAGAAGGAGAAGCAAATGAAAACGATTGATTGGTGAAACGTAGCCGTAGCCATTCTGGAGAAAAAGAAATAAAAATTTGTGGTAACGAAAATGTTAAATTCTATAATTAGCAAATTAATTTTCATAATTTTCGTGATATGAATGTTGTGAATTGACATTGAAATTTGATTTGTTAAGATGCATCTGGTTTTCCAGTTAAAATTCCAATACCCTTTTCTAGGGACACCTTGAATTCCTTGTTTAATTTCTTGCCCATAGGTACGCACCAATCCCCACCTCTTTAACCATATGATTTTTGTCCATTTTGTGGCTGTCCACATATTACGTCAAACCGGACATGATGTTATTGATTTAGCTCTGTTGTTAATGCTACTCAACGTTAATTGTTTGGTTTACGAAAAAATACTAAAATGCATATCCATTTGGTCTCCGCTAGATGGATACACCGTCATTTCTTACACTATATCCATTTGTTCGATGTTACATGGATACACCTTCACTCCTAAATGTCATATATGAACGCGTACTTGCGTATTGTCAACCATAGGAATCCGTCTATTATCCTTCGAAGATATGTTCGCCAACTTATAAGGTGTTCTTGTATTTCATTTTGGTGAACAATGTTTAGATATGTTCGCCATCGTGTCTCTGTTTGTGGAGCTAAAACATTTTAATTTAAGAGATGTAAAATATAGGATCATTCCGGGGATGTGCCTTTAGTCAAGTGGTTAAGTCCACTTGACTCCGCCTTCTCCACCGGAGTTTGACTCCAGTAAGTCGCGTTACCCCGCATAGTAGGGATTGGTTATGGATCGGGCATTGTCGATCCAAAGATGTCAAAAAAAAAATATAAGATCATTCCTATGGTTATGTTCATATGATTTTACGAATTATTGTGGAATAAGGTTAAACACTAAATCCTATTCACCATCTTTAGTGTCTCAGTCACAACAACAATATAAACCTAAAATGAGATGAAAGTTCGGTTTAAAGGTTAAAACACTAAATCATACCCCTACCTGCTAAACCCAAACCGATATTTAACTTTTTAAAAAAATATATAACACTAAACCCTACTCCCTACCTACTAAACCCAAACCGATATTTAACTTCTTTTTAATATATAACACTAAACCCTACTCCCTACCAACTAAACCCAAACCGATATCTAACTTAGTTAACAATATAAACCCAAACCAATATTTAACTTCTTTTAAATATAGTTAACACTAAACCCTACTCCCTATCTAATAAACCCAAATCGATATTTAACTTCTTTAAAATATATAACACTAAACCCTACTACCTACCTACTAAACCCAAACCGATATTTAACTTATTTTAAATGTATAACACTAAACCCTACCCTCTACCTACTTAACCCAAACCGATATTTAATATCTTTTAAATATATAACACTAAACCCTACTCCCTACCTACTAAACCCAAACAGATATTTAACTTCTTTTAAATATATAACACTAAATCCTACCCCTACCTACTAAACCCAAACCGATATTTAACCTTTTTTAAATATATAACACTAAAACTTATCCCCTACCTACTAAACTCAAACCGATATCTAACTTTGTCAACAATTTAAACATAAAACGAAATGAAAGGTCGGTTTAAAGGTATAACACTAAACCCTACCCCTTACCTACTAAACCCAAACCGATATCTAACACTTTACAAGTAGCCATCCACATAGTTAGAGTTGTATGGACCAATTACAATTTTTTATTTACGTAATCATGTCCAAAATTGTTTATGGATGTGCTTGGATGCACCATACCATATAATTGTTGTCCATATGGATAAACCACTTTGTAAACCTTAACCCTAACCCCTGAACATTAAATTAAAACTCTAGATCCTATCCCTCGACCCTATACCCCAAGACCCTAATCCTTGTCCACTAAATCTTAAACCGTAAACCAAAACTCTAAACCATCCAATATATCGTAACCATAAAAAAAGTGATAATTTTACTAAGCGATAAAACACATTTGCAGCAAATCAAAGACACAGTTGTCCATTTATTAGTGTCTAAACAGTCAAGTCCAAAAGGTCATCTAGTAACTCACATGGTTGTTTCATAGCAATGCACAAGTTTATACAACCCGATATTTTACTTCTTTTAAATATATAACACTAAACCTTACTCCCTATCTACTAAACCCAAACTGATATTTAACTTTTTAAAAATATATCACTTTGCATATGAGAATCAGTTATTTCCAGATGGTCACGTCTAATTGGACAAGTTTTCATGGAGACAAACTGTCAAAGCTTCCAACAAGATTTCATTATGTATAAACTAATAATCCTATATGTTTCCAAACCCCAAGAACAATCTATAGACATTGCTCTCAAATAGCAACACTCAAAACCCAAGTAGTTAATGATAGTTTGGGTCCATGTTAACTTGTCCCATTAGACTTGACCAATTGGAGTAAATGGTGAAACATGACAAACACTTGAACACAAATGATTCATGTGTAGAGCTTCTTCAAATATATATAACACTAAACCCTACCCCCTACCTACTAAACCAAACCTATATTTAACTTCTTCAAATATTTAACACTAAACCCTACCCCCTACCTAGTAAACCCAAACCGATATCTAACTTCGTCAACAATATAAACCTAAAACGAGATGAAAATTCGGTTTAAAAGTTTAACACTAAACCCTACCCCCTACCTACTAAACCCAAACCGATATTTAACTTCTTTCAAATATATAACACTATACCCTATCCCCTACACCTAGTAAACCCAAACCGATATCTAACTTCGTCAACAATATAAACTCACACCGATGTTTAACTTTTTTTAAATATACAACACTAAACCCTACCCCCTACAAACTAAATCCAAACCGAAATCTAACTTCGTCAACAAATTAAATCCAAACCGAAATTTAACTTCTTTTAATTGAATCTAGCTTGATAAATTGATGTTTCGTTGAACCTCTAAGCTAAGAGCACTTTACTTCGCATATGAGAATCAGTTATTTCCACATGGTCACGTCTAATTGGACAAGTTTCATGGAGACAAACTGTCAAAGCTTCCAACATGATTTCATTATGTATAAACTAATAATCCTATAGGTCTCCAAACCCCAATAACAATGTAGACATTGCTTTCAAATATCAACACTCAAAACCCAAGTAGTTAATGATAGTTTGGGTCCATGTTAACTTGTCCACTTAGACTTGACCATGTGGAGTAATGGTGAAACATGACAAACATGACAAACACTTAGACCGTCCATTTTTCTTTAAACATGAAAAACACTTGAACCGATATTTTAACTCCTTTTAAATATATAACACTAAACCCTACCCCTACCTACTAAACCCAAACCGATATTTAACTTTTTTAAATATATAACACTAAATAGAAGTCCAAGTTTGATTTTAATTACCAAACATCTCAAGATATAGCATAAATGAGCACAATTACCAAAGCAAACACAAATTCATATTACTAAGAAATGAAAAATCAACAAGTCACACTACAAAGATAATCTCATACGAATCTATTATAAGAGAACAACACCATGTTCAAGCCTCGTCAAGCTTTGGATTTGCAATCATCTTCTTTAAAATCTTCACTTGAATCAAGCTTCGAATCTGCAGCTAATTCAATTCCATCACCATCCTTTGGTGGAGGAGAAGCCACATTAGTCTTAGCTTTCACAAATTCAAGCATACCTTTACTAATCTCTTTAGAATAAGTTTTAAGAATTTCGATCCCGTCTTCGTCACTAATCACGGCGGCAGAAGCGACGGCGTATGCTTCGTCTTCGATTGATTTAAAATCGGAAAAAGCATTTCTACCGGAGACGACAGCAGGGGAAAGAATCGCCACCGTCATTACCAAAGCTAAGAAGAAACTAACCCTTGTCCAATTAGCCGCCATAGTTTAAAGAAACCCAGAACGTGAATTGAATTTCTTTGTGTGTTTAAACTTTTTCAAGTATGGGATTTGGATTGAAGTGGATTGCGTTTAATTCTGGACACTTTGGCGAAACCTTCTAATCTTTGATTATTGTAAAAGATTTGTCTAACGAGCACCAAACCAAATAATCTTTGATTATCCAAGAATCGATCTTTCTATTAACGAGCACCAAACCAAATAAAACAAAACAATTGTCTAAAAATCAATCCTTTAATTTGATAAAATCGAAAGATAAGACATTTAAGAGCAAAAACAATAAGCAATGGGGAAAAAACGAAGAGGCTGTGATGATATTACCATGGCAGTTCTTTTATTCCAAAAGATCCTCTCTCTTTTCCCACTAAACTCATCCAAGAGAGACCCGAGTTTACAGAAAGCCGATTCAACGAATCAGGTAACTAAACCAGCCAGATCGGACAGATGCTCCAGTTGGTGGTCTGAAAAAAGTCTCCTTGAAGTTAGCTCAAAACAGACACGGAGAAATCGGGAGATCCGATTAACCGGAAAAATTAAATAGCCTCATCTGAATGTTCAATCTCTCTTTCTTTAGAAAGCTGATGATTTGTTGAAGAAGGAAGAAAGAAGCTGGACTTGGCTTTCTTCTTTGCCGAGAGAGAGAGAAAGAGAGAATGGATATGAGAATGAGAGAGAAAAGATATTGTAACCAAAGCGAGATGTAGTTAGAGGGCAAATGGGTCAAATAACTTATCCAAAGTGCTCTCAACTTTCAAAGTGCCTCATTGTGGAAATAAGTTGAATAAAGTGTCTCATTGTGGTATTATTCCAATTTGAATTATATAATTAGATTTTTTGTGTTAAAGGAGAAAATATAGAGAAGGGGAAAATCAAAGATTTGCAAAGAAATATGACAACTCGCAATTTGAATCTGGATTTATTTCAAAGGGAGATGACAAAATCACAAGAAAGAGAGAAGACAATATGTTAATTTTGTATGAAAAAAAATAAAATTTTTAAAACAACATGAATTTCATATTCCAAGTGATCAATACAATAAAAATACTAAGTTTCTCTCCAGTGCTGACACCTCAGGTTTTTGGAATGTTCTGGAAGTGACACATCAGCCATTTTATCTTCCAATAAAAACATTTCATTAATATGATTCAGCTTTAATTTTTTATACATCATCCATATTGTGTGTGGGGTTAGTTCTAGGTTTGGGATAAGTTGGGCTTAGTAATTGGTTCATGTGTAGGCTGTTACGATGGATTAGTTAAGTAAGACATGATTAAGAAGGTTAGATAAATTAGAGAGAGGATCGTGAGATGTTTTTTTTACAATTGCTCTTGCTTCGTTTCATCTTCTTCTGAGAGAGCGTTAGCTCCGAACCTTGTACAGAAAACTCCGGTCATTAATTTCGTTGAGATAGTGGATCGCTTAGGGGAACTTGTTAATTGTTCGTGTCGTCTCTGGTTTTATCTTCTTTCTTTATCTCTTTCAAATTCATGAGCGATATAGGGTGAATCCGTCTGAGTGTTCACTGATCGGTTCCGTGACTGAACATAACATTCTGATTACTTTTTTACCCATCCAAGAACTTGATTTGACCGAGTTTCTCATTCCTTTGTGTCTCCGAATACGTTACATCGCTCATCTCTTGATTGGAGCCCAATTCGATTCGAGACTTTTTCTCTAACAGTGAAGCTTCTCTTCTCCAATAAGCTCGAGATTGACAAGGTTTTGATTTTTGAACGATAGAAATTTGAAGTGGTGTTGAATCGGTGAATGATATTAGAACTCTATCGTCTTGATAAAAAGCTATGGCTGAAACTAATATACTTTAATTTCTGTGGAAATATATTTCAGCTTTGATAATTGTTTGAGAAACTGATACGGTTCATGATCTGCAGCTGAAGTGGAAATAAATTACTTATACGGTTAAGAGTCGACGGTGAGAACTTGAGAATCTAACTAATTTAGACCCACAATTCAGTTGTCCTTGTCTCAGATCATGAACCTAATTACTTAAGATAATGCTTATCAGTACAAAGAGATTCGAGAGACTTTTAGAAACTCTAAAGCGTTTAGAATGTCTCTGCCACTTGTAGCCTATTAATTGTTGGAATTTGGATTTCAAATCCAACTCTTAAAAATATGACAAATACAAAAAAGTTATACGTAACAACACTACCGTTGTCGTTGTACAGTTCATCTTATGCCCGTACTAAATGTATTTGTGTAAGTTTTAAGAGCTTTAAACTTTAAATCAATTAACAAATGAGTTGATTGACATATGTTCCTTATCTATTACTTTAGGTCCATTCTCGTTTCATAAGTAGGATCCTAACCGGTTGCATTAAATTTACTGTGAATATCCACTTCGTTTTCAGCATTATTATCTGGTAATGACTAAACATTGATATTGTGAGTGAGAGTACAACCTAAGTGTTTAGTTTTGCATTAAGTTGTTGCTAGGGAGTGTTACGGTAAATAGAGAAGTTCGCATGCTTGCATGTGTATCATGATTGTATATTTGTCTTACAAAGGTATATATTAAAAAGCTATACAAATATCTTACAAAGCCAAAATTTTCTAATTTGTTTTTATAAGTTTCAGATACAATCAATCTTCTTGAAGGTCCTTCATGTCAAACTCTTGGTTTGGGAAAAAGAAAACAATGAGAAAACTAAAGAAGGAAAACCATTGTTTTCAATATGCTGCCATAGGCCTGGGCAAAATACCCGGAACCGAATACCCGAACCGAAAAACCCGAACAATACCCGAACCGAACCCGAACCCGATTTTTAAAAATACCCGAATGGGTCCTAACCTCCTACCCGAAAAAAACCCGAACCGAACCCGAACCGAATCCAATACCCGAATGTACCCGAATGTACCCGAATACAAATATACACCTATAAATATTAGTTATATTTATATTTATAATACCCGAAATACCTAAAATTACAATCATAAATCCGAATATATTAGGTATTTTAGATATTTTTGGTTATATTTGGGTAAAGAGTAACCATTGTATTTTCGATAAATCGAGTATTTCGGTTAGATTTGGGTATATATGAGTTAAAAACCCGAACCCGACCCGAACCCGAAAATATTTCGGGTATTTTTGGTTATTTTCGAGTATTTTGCTTTTTTTTATTAAAATACCCGAACCGACCCGAACCCGAACCGAACCCGAACCAAATTTTTAGAATACCCGAATGGGTCTTGACCCCCTACCCGAATAGACCCGATATCCGAAAAAAAAGAACCGAACCCGAACGGGTACCCAAATGCCCAGGCCTATGCTGCCAAAATGGAAGAGTAACTTTATCGGCCGTAAGAAATCCCCCAGAACTTGTAGCAGAGTTATTGGAATCACCAGTCTTTAAAGAGACTATAAAAGTTAACAAGTTGGTGTTAGCTTTCACTTCTATTGGAGCCAAAGTGGATCATGTTTGGTTTCAGTCCCTACACATTCAGAATTCAAGGGATGTATAGTTTATTACATATTAGAATCACTACTACCGCCTGAAGAAAAACCTTCAAAATTTGGTCAACTATACATCCCAATTCTAAACAAGGTTATATGAAAAGAAAATAATCATTAAAAGAGAAGGTCTATTTCATAAGTTTGTGCTTTTTTTAGATATAAAAATAGTTTCAAACACAATTTAAGAAAAATACCCCGTAGCGCGGGTTTTAAGCTAGTAGGTTTTAAATTTAAAACAAAACCTCATAGCGAATGAATGTATTAACTCATAACACTGCATTAACCGCAATAATATCATAATCAAATCACCCTCACAAAATTTTCTGATAAGTTAGTAAAATCTTTTTCAACGAAAATTAACTTACCTCATAGCGAATATGTCGAATTATGAAAATTCATACATAAGGAGTTATTTTAAAAAAAAAATATAAATGGTTTACAGTTATTATTGAGAAATTTATTTTCTCTGACGCAAAGATGAATCAAATTGTGATCAAAATTGACTAGCTTGCTCTCAGTTCAGGATCCAAAAGCAGATATCCACGTATCACCAAATCATCATGAGGGGGCTCACAACTGAGTATCCGAGCTGAAGTCATAATATTCGTTACGACAAACGGAAGAACTCGCATAAGAGAGGTGAAACTGAGAGGGATTTCGAATTCAGAGGGTGGACCAAGCATATTAAAAGCCAAAGAAAGGTCCGAAGGAATTTAAACAAGAACGTTACAACATTGAAGACAAAATCAAAACAAACACATTGAAGGAGAATTATTACATTTATTAGTCATTTAAGTGTAAATCATAAGTGTAAATCATTGTGTATAAATATAAGACCCCATATACCTAAATTTTCATACATTACTAATACAATACTACTTTATGTTTACGTTTCTACTCACATCTTCATACTTTTTGTTATACGTATTTGTCTTGTACTTTTGACCTTAAGAGTTTTAGCCCATAAATAATATAAATATTTGAGTGTTAGAATCCGACATCCACATAGCTCTAGTGAGATCTCGACTTGATTGTTCTCTATTGTAAGATAGAATAGTCTAAGTCCTCATGTATTTAGTTAAAACATTAACGATGGCATTAACTCCATGGCCATGTCTATTTTTCTAAAATTTGATGTTTCATGAAGCGGTGTATATAAGGTGATGCCTCGATCTTTTGTAATATAAAAGGATCATTATCTAGTAAAGCATACTAGACATCAATGGATGGAGTAAACCAAGCTAACCTTCTATCCATAAATAGATTCTAAAAATTTAAAATAATAAACTAAATTAATCTAGTAAAGCATACCAGCCATATTTATATTTATGGAAATCCAAAAACAAAATGATACAAGTTTAATTTGGGATTTTCGATGTCAGCTTTCAGTTTGGGCTTGATAGTCTCCAATGCTTTCTCCTCATATTTGGTGAGTCCGTGGAGGTCTGACTCGATCTCTTCATTCATTCTTTTTTTTCCTAGTCTGCAGTGAGGCAAAGTAAGGGAGCTCAGTGACTGCATACGCCACAAAAGCAAACTCATAGACATCTTCCTTTCCCTCCAGAGCACCATGGAGTTGAGTAGTTTGGATTTATCATGAACCTCTTAATAGTTTTTTTTTTGTCCGTCTGTTTTAGTTCAGAGTCACATGTTAGATTTTCACAGAAGTGCTCATTTCAATGTTTAATGATTCTGGAAGAAAAATAAAATTTCTCAACTTCTTTAACAAAGCAAATTATCATTTTTAGTATAACTAAATAATGAGTGAATCTGGTGAATGTACAAATAATTTTTTTGTTTCTTTCAATAAATTTATTAATCACTATAATCAGCATCATCGATATAAGAGTTGTACGAAAGTAGGACATTAATTATACATAAAATATTGATTACTACAAATATTTGCCATTTTGGCTAGTAGATTTGCACATAAATTCTGCTCCCGATGTTGAAAAATGAACTTCGTTGATGTGACGGAGCCAAAAAAATTGTTTATAGGGGTCAATTTTTTTTTAATATAGAAAATATATAATTTTATTAAAAAAATAAAATATAATAAAATATAATTTTTAGAAATCTATCATAAAATTATTTATATCTTGTAAATGTTTTATTATTTTTTTGTTTGTCACATTGTTACGTATTTTTCATTCAAAAACTAGAAAGTTATTTGAAATTGTATCAACGATACAAAGTCGTTTTCAAAATATTCATAGTAAAGAAATTTCTTTTAACTGTTGCAATTGCAAATTAAAACATAAAAAATAATTTTAAAAGTCGATAAATAAAAAAATGAGACATATTTGTCTTTGTAATATATGAACAAAATCATCAAGACGTTTCATGTCAAACTAAAAAATATATAAATTTTAACTTAAAATTTTATTTCCAATATGATTTTCAATGGATAATGTTAATTGAAATAGAGGAAAAGAAAAAAAAAATCATAAGTAGCGAAAGAATAGTGATATTTAGGTTGAACTCATTTTAATGGATATATATATATATATATATATATATATATTTAAAATTTATTTGTAATGAGTTTAATTATAATAATTCTTTTTGATATATAATATTTAGTGGTTTTCTCTTATATTTTGTAATGGAGTCAATTTATAAATGATTAATCAAATTAAACTAAGTTTTAAAAATCCATGGGTGTCAATTGACCCCTATGGTATAACACTACCTCCGCCACTTGCCACATTTGTTCAACAAAGTGAACAAATAATACACTTCTTAGTGTCGTTCATGTTATGGATAAAGAAAATTCATATTTTGTATTAAAGAAAAAAACATATGAAGAGAGATCATTATTTAGTTTAGCAAAGCCATTGGCCATTGGGCCATTGGGCCATTGGGGCCATTGGAAAAAGATTGAGATAAGTTAGACTGTAATATTAAAAACGACGGCGTATAGTTGAAGATGCTTTTGCTGCACGACGAAGCATAAGCATGATTTTCCGGTCAAGTCTTTTGAGTTTCACAGCTAACTGAATTACAGTTTTCGATTCGAAATTCTTAATCCCATTTTCATTCCTTCGACAAATCTTCACACAATCCTAATCTCATTTCTGGTAAATCCGATTTTGGTGAAACCCTAATTTGATCTCCAGATCGCTATCGACGATGGAGGAAGACAAGCAAATGCACGAGGAGAAATCATCCCCGGTTAAGGGAGAAGAGCCTGAGATTGAGAAATTGACAGTGGCCGATACCGATGCGCCGCCGAAGAGTACCGGTGGTTGGGGTTGGGGTTTCTCTGGCTTCTCTGTACTTTCCGATCTTCAAAAAGCTGCGGAAGAGATTTCTCGTAATGTATGTTCTCACTCCAATTTTGACCTAATTTTATCAATTTGTGTTTTTGATATTGGATCCGAAACTTATGGTACCAAATGATAGAGGTTTTATGGTTTGTTGAAGGAACTTCTTTGATCTAAACTCTTTACTAATTTGTGAGTAATGATCCTTGATTTTTCCTACTACTGTAGGCTGCAGCGGTGGCGGAGAAAGCGGCGAAAAGTATTGCAGATATGGGAGAAGTGGATGAAGACTCTGAATCTTCTGCTAAGGAAGAAGAGAAAACTGAAGAAGCTGATACAGAGCAGGATAGTGATGATGAGAATGCAAAGTTAAAGAAGTCAGCTCTTGCGAGATTGGAGGGGGCAAGTGAAGAGTCGCTTCTTAGCCAGGCAAGTCATTGTTCATGCTCATGGTGATAATGTTGGAAATGTGATAATCCTCTTTCCTGCATTGAACTTTGTTACTCCATATGATTTTTCTGCTGGTTTGTCAGTTGGCTCAAGTCATTGTTTCTTCACTTGCTCATATGTTAGAATTAATATAGTATCTCGATGTTTCATCTTCCAGGGTTTGAAGGTTTTCGATGATTCAGTTGAGAGTTTCACTTCTGGAGCTTGGCAGGCATTTGGAAATGCGTTAAAAGGGGGCACAAGTTTGGTGCAAAAGTATGTTTCTTTTAATTTGTCTCTGTTTTACTGAAAGCTTTGATCTTAACTGTGGACAAAGTACAAACTTTGTGAACGAAAATGGTTTAGGCCACTGAGTTTATATATCCTGACAAGAAGGAAAGTAATCCTTCAGTTTAAATGTTTACAAAGATTTATCAATGCTCCATGAATTGTCTTATGGAAAGTCTGCATTAAAATTAATTACTTCATTTGTTTAGCATTCCGTTTCTGCACATAACAAGAGTCTGAGGCTCTGAGCATTTAATACTCAAGTTAATTTACTTTAATAGATTCTTCTTTTGGTAAATTAGGTTGCTTATTTTTGTTTCATTAATAATAAAATGTTGGGCAAGCTATGTGTCATTTCCTGAATACAATGTTTGCCGATGACTGGTGAGACTGGCTTATTGAATCCAGAAGTCGTCTGTTTCATGAGTACAGACCTGTTCCCCTACGAAGAAGATCAAGTTATTGATGCTCCACTATTTTTTCTGTAGGCTTGAAAACAGTGTCGAGCAAGGTTCTTCTCCTAGGGAAGCTGGATCTGGTGCACCTTCCCTACTGGAGGTTTGTGCTGTTTGTGTCGTCTTCTGTCTTTCCTAGCTTAACATTTCATTTAGCCCATACTTCTGATCTTCAGACAGGAAAAGCATTAACTGCTAAAGGAATGCAAGTACTTGAATTTGTGGGCAAGGAAACCATGGATTTACTGATTACAGAGACTGGTATTGGAGCTGAGAAGGATAGGGTAGACTTTAAGGATCAAGTACTTGAGGAAGTGACATTTGATCGATGTTTTTACATTTATGGTGGTCCTGAGCAGCTTGAGGTGACCTACTTATTGCTGAAAACCACCTGTACATTCATTCTTGAAAAATCGAGTTTGTCTTTCCTCAGTTTCTCAATGCATGGTGTTTACAGGAATTGGAAGCATTGGCAAGCCACTATACTCTGTTGTTCAACAGGAAAAAGGGGAAATTGTCACCAGATCAAAAATCCTTGTATGACGGGAAGCTCAAACAAATCCAGCAACTGTTTAGCTTCGCTGACGAAATGAGCGGAAGTAAAGCAGAGTCTGACAAAGGGAAGAAAATAGATATCAAAACTGAAGGCAATGATGATGACATGAAGAATCTGCATAACTCGAGTGTCAGCAAAGCTGCTGATATGGCTGCGGGGTAATTATGACTGTCCCCCTTTTCCTCTCAGATTCTACATTGTTTTTCCATCAGTCTCCGTTGTCTGTATTTTCTCCTAAAAATCACCACAATACGTCCCTTCAGCCCCCAGCAATGTTATAGGAATCTGTTATTATCCCTTCATATCAATAAACAAATGCAATACTCTATATCATAAGAGAGAAGGTGAAAATTAGAAACTTGGACCTTTGTAGAAGTACTTTCTATGATTTCCTTGCATCATGAAAGTTTTCATGTTAAGATAAGAAGATAAATGTGTATGGAATATATTTCTTTGACCTGCTTTTTTATTTGCTCGTCACTTATGTTTATCAGGTTCACAAATGCTTTAGCGGGACTAAACGTAAACGATATGATCCAGCGGACCGGTGGCAGGCTTGAATCTCTTCACTCAGAAGGAGTTCATGTACGAAGCTTGGTCCCTTCTTATTTATTTTAAATATTGAAGAATTTTCTACCCCCATCAGTATTTTTCCTTTTTTTGGCTGAAATATGACTCAATTAACTAAAAAGATAAAATCTCGTTCTGCAGAGACTTTCAGAGATGTGCTGTTTTGCAGTCACTCATCTGCTTATTCTCAGTAAGTCCATGATATCTCATGCCAACAAAGTTCAGGATGAAGACACCGAGGCATTGAAAATCGAGTGGCCAGAGGATCCTACTGAGAAAGCTAAGCTGATTAAAGGCAAGGCAGAATCGATGACTGGATATGTTGAAGCAGTTTCCAACAGTTTTATAACAGGTTGGTCCACAATTATTCAACTTACTTCGACTTATAACCTCTTTCGCATTTCTTACCGAGTATCCTGGGTTGCTAGAATCATCTTATTGGATAGTATGCCATTTCATTTGTAAGAGTAGAAGATAGAAGCAACATTTCTTCTACTATAACCCAGTTAAAAAAAAAAAAGATAGATATGCTTGTGATTTGTGAAACTCGGAACACTAGAAGAAAAGTGACAGTTTCCAAATACCCTTTTCCACATTGCAGGTATATCAGATGTATCTGAAACATACTCAGCTGCGATTAAAGGAGTTGCTGCTGCTGATTCCAAAGATGATCTTCTGAAAACATCAACCATGCAGGAAAAAGCAAGCACCTTCAACGATAGTCTTCGCTCTGACCAAACCACAGCTATCACAAAGATCCAGGAAGGACTTCAGTACCTGTCTTATGTCGTGATATCTACCTCAATGCCCTCTGCCTGATATAATAAGAGTCAGATTGGTCTTATTTGTGGTTTACATGACTCAGGATTCGATTTAGTTTTCTTTGTAATTGTAGATATATCTCTTTCGCTAGATGCTCTTATGGTAAGTTTTTCACACTTGTGCTCTGCTTCTCTGTTGTCTGGATCTTGAAAGTTTTATTAAATCTAGAAACCAAAGATTGAAAGCAGGGAAGAGATTAGTAATTTCATCGAACTTTTGTTAGAAATATATTGTTGCTTCCAAATTTTTTACTTGGAAGGTGGTTTAGATGTGTTATTGAACTGTAAACGTAGCATTCAATATTTGTTGGCGTAGAGATCTGCGTACTCGTTAAGTGTGATATCGCTGTTATTTGGTTTAAGAAATCACATTAAATCACCAATGTAATTTGGTTTATTATCTCTTAAAATGCTCAAAATATTAAGAAAAAAAAAATCCCTTCAAATTCTAAAAATACAGTCAAACCTTTATAAATTAGTACTCGATAAATTAATAACCACGATAAATTAATAAATTTGGCCGGTCCCGAGTCGGGCCAGTATAAAAATTAAACAAATTTGATAAGATAATAAGATAATAAAATTTTTTTGAAATTCCAATGTAAAAATATAGTCCCAATAATATTATAAATTAATAATCATGTAAATTTGCACACACTAATATATATATATATATATATATATATATATATATATATATATAATATTTTTAGTGTTTTCATAAAAATAGCCAAAACCATTTGTAAGTTTTCAAATTTTGAATATGCATAATTTTTATTTTAATAGTCGTATAGGTTTTTAAAATACAACAATGGATGTCACTATTTGTGAATTTTAATTTATGTATATCGTTTGTATATGTGAATTCTATAATCGATGTTATTCATTGTCAAAATAAATTATTTTTTCTTTGAAATATTAAGTGTTTTAGGCTAAAACTATAAAATTTATAAAATCCAAAACATTAATTTATTTAGATCACATTGCTTTAACTCGTATTTTTTTAAAAAAAAGTTTTCACAAGTGAAACAAAATTTTCTATACATTAATAAATATTAATTTACGCTATAAATTAATACGTATTAATTTATAGATAAATTAATATCACTATAAATTAATAAAATATCATGGTCCCAACATTATTAATTTATAGAGGTTTTACTGTATATCAAAACTACAATACAATGATCAGTATGTCACAATAGCCTAATGCAAAAAGAAATCAGAAGAGACGCCTCCGTCGAAAATAAACACATTCTTAGACCATTCAACAAAACCCCAAAGCTTTCCTAAATCTCGTCTCTCAAACGAAATCTCTGCACACCAAATCTCTGTTTTACTTTCCATCCAATCAGGCCAACAACGACTCACTATCAACTTCCACCAAACCGTTACTCTCCTTCCTCGGTCGTAACTTGCCACCGAAGTTAGATAACCAGGAAAATATGGATCACGAGGTACTCCTTCAAGTCCCTCAACCCTACTCCACCCCAAATTCTCCTCTGGATTATACCAAACTAACATCCCCTTCGAAATCGATATTTGGCACATCATGTTCTCTATCTCTACCAAGCAAACATTCTTCTCCAAGCTAATCTTCAAATCATCATTCATAGAATAAACTTTTCCACCCATTACCAATTTACCTGGAACCACACTCTTATGAGTGGTGAGATCAAGTGTTGTAAACAATAATGGCTCCCAAGTTTGGGTCTTTAGATCATAAACCTCTCCCCAATTCTCGATTTTGTACGACGTAGAGCCTCCATTCACGTAGATCTTACCATCGATTACATCAGCGGCTGGAGTTTCTCTAGCTAGACGCATGTTTGGTAGTCTACGCCATAGATGAGATCGACAATCAAGAACCAACACTCTGTTGCCTTTCTTTTGATGAAGGGAGCCTCCGATTATGTAAATCTCTGAACCGATTGAAACAACGGTGGAGGATTTGGGATGTTTATAATAAGGAGGGATTGGTTTGAGTTTCTGTTGTTGTGGGAATGGTGCAAGTGTGAACCAGCGAGGCTTAGACCCCACGTTTAAGCAGACGCAGAGATAATCTTCTGTTATCCCGTTGCGGGAACGTGTGGCCTCAAGATCAGGAGAAGCTACGAGAGATCGGAAATACTTGGAGACTAAGGATAGAGTCGGACGATAGAATTTTGAGACACGAGCCAAGCAACTGAGAATGATGTCTTCCGGTAACGAAGAAAACGATGTCGGAAGAGTTGTCGTCATTGTGTTCTGTTTCTGCCAGGTTTAAGAGTTTTAGGGTTTCTGTGCTTTCTTTTCCCTTCAATTTAATTAACGATGAATTCACACTTCGACTAAATTTCGGAAGCATAAAATAAATTTTAGGAAACTTTCTTTGACCTTTTAGATTTTTTATGGAAATAGTTTCGAGAATATCGTTAAGTGGCTACCTATACGATATTCGGTTCGGTTTTAGATAAGACTCGTTTGGTACGATGTATTTTAGATAGAACTATAGAAGCATTTAGAAGCCCCATTCAAATATTTTAAAGTTTTTGTTCGGGTTCGGTTCGGTTCGATTATCAATACCTGAAATATTGGAATAAATTTTAAATATGGTTAAATTTGAATAAAATTTGGCTGAATTTTCGACAAATATGACAGAACCGAACCGAATATCAGATGCCGAGAAATCTCTTATATATTGATAGTGAAGCACTCTAAAAAATAAACCTTACTTTGACGTGTTATTAACTAAACTGTCATGCTAACATGTCGCTTTCAGAGTGATTTTCCACCTATTTAAATTATTACCCAAATTTTATTAGACTATTTACTGATTTTGCCATTAGTCTTAATACATATATATATCACACAAATAAAAAACGAAATTATAACTAAAAACAAATAATTAGACAACTAATCTTCATATCTTTTTTGTTTTTTGTCGTCTAAATTTATTATTAATTGCAAATTATGAGAACTGTTACATAGACGATTCTACAACTGACAATTCCTTCCGACCCTTACTAGATCCACGACAGACTACACTTCCTTTCTTTGTAATCTTGATGAATACCTTCAATGATCCACGACCTGGCGATACTTCCTTCTCTGCGTAGAATCCTGGCGAACGGCTATAATTGTACATCGCTGGAGATCTCTTGCACACTTGCCTCCATTAATCTGCAAATTTATTAATAAATCGCAATACCTGAGACTCGAACCCCAGACCTCTTGGTGTAGAAGCATTAATCAACCCTTAGTCAACCAATGAGCCAAGGGGGCTTCCACATCTTCATATCTATATTTAATAAGAAATCATGAGAGCTTTGTTTATTTATATTAATGATTTATTTTTTAATAATTAAAAAACGTACACTTTTTGTTTATCTTATATTAATAAATCTTTATATTTATATTTTTTATATATACATTTATATAAATCTTCGTCAATACTTTCTTTATCGCGTTGAAACTTTATTTCAGGTTTAAATATTTCACGGGTGAAAGGTATTCTTATACGAAATAGTCCCAAATTTGAATTAAAAAAAAATAAAAAAAAATTATTACATGTTTCGTTTTACACAAAGGGATCTTGGATTCCAGATAATAATTTTAATCATAATAGTTTTACTTAAATCAGTTTATCCCGCACATAGTGCGGGCTGTTATCTAGTTTTGATTTTACTTCATATTTCTAGTAAACTTTCAATATATTCGAGTGAATTTTGAAGGACTAATAGTAGATGATTGTTGCTCTTTTGTAGGGCTAAACTATCTAACAAAATGATCAAACAAGAAGAAATATGGCGGAAACAAAAAATAGCAAATCCCACTGGACTTTTCAGGTAAGGGGAAGAAGAAGAAAACAAAGTATTCATGTGGGAAGACAAAGTTATAGTGAAGTTCAACTTCCCTAATGGTGATTCAAGAAGAAGAAAACGAAGAATTCATTTGTGTTTAGTTTTGATGATTAGTTATTGGTTTATTTATTCTACACATGATCCTTCACAAAAACTAATCATCAAAAGTACATGGACATTACCAAGGCACGATCGTTTCATCAACTAAATCCTGGTTTTAGTTTGGTGGATTTGTTGTTTTTGTTTCTTTAATATACAGTAAAACCTCTATAAATTAATAATGTCGGGACCGAGAAATTTTATTAATTTAAAGAAGTATTAAATTATCGATAAATTAATAATTATTAATTTATAAAAAGATTTTACTAATTTTCTAATTTCCTTAAAAACATTATATGAAAAGCAATTTTTTTTATAATCAATATATTTCGAAACAAATTACAAGTATAAAATAAATTACTAAGCTTAGAAAATAGCACAAAACTTTTTAAGATGTAGTAAAAATATTAGAATTGAACTCTACCAAGAATTAATACAAATTTAAGAAAAAACAAACAATATAATATTCATATTTTACTAAATATTTTACATATATATATATATATATATATATATATATTGATAAGTTTATACAATTATTAATTTATGGTATTGATGGGACCATATGTTTACATAGATTTTAAAAAAAGTTATGATCTTATTAATTTATCGCTTTGAGTTATTTTTTACACTGGTCCCAACTAGAGACCAGAATAATTTGTTAATTTATAGAGGTTATTAATTTAGTGAGTATTATTTTAAAAAGGTTTTACTACAGTCTGTTTTTTATTCGGAATTAATGAAATCCTTATTATAGTTCTAGGTTTAGATTTTAAATTCTTGAATCAATTCGATAATTCAGTTTGTTCAATCAAAATATCATCAAAGTTTTCTTTGTGTTTCAGTTTACTTTAGTTTTGTTGAAGATTACATTATTTACATTCTGAAAATCGTACAGTAAAATCTCGATGGAATATTTAACTATTATCTTATCGAATTATGTATATATTACACTGACTCCACTTGAAACAAAACAAAATTAATAATTTATACTGATTATTAATTTATCAAGTACAATTTCCAGAAATTTTAATGTAATTTTGTTTGTTGATTTTTACCTATAGAAATTGTGGGTCTCTTCATTGTGGTACCAAGGCATATGTGGCTTAGCGCATAGTGGGTTAGTTTTTATGATTGCAAGACTGATAGTAGTTGCTTGTTGCTGTTTTCTAGGGCTCAACTATCTAACAGAAGGATCAAACAAGAAGAAGTATGGCGGCAAGAAGAAGAAAGAGTATGACGGCAAGAAGAAGAAAGAATATCCCACTTGACTTTTTAGGCAAGGGGTAAAAGAAGAAGGGATTTGTGTAATGTTGCTTTGATATTGTTAAAGGATTTGTGTGATATTTTTTTTGCTAAAATACAATTTATCAAAAAAAAAAGAACCAATTAACTAAATTTGACGCAAAGAAATCGATGAATCAAAGAGTTTCTTTTAAACCTCTCACTTATTATATTAATTTAAAAGAGTTTACAAAGAAATTACATAGAACCAATGAGATGCAATTCAATACATAAACATTGAATTCAAGAAATAATATCCAGAAACATAAGCAAACAATTATATTCAAATTATTTAAAATAAATGGTCATACATTTAGCTGAATGATAAAATATATACATATAGTCAAACTTTTATTGTACACTTATGTAGAATACTTTCAGTCACATAAATAAATAGTTTCTTAATTTAAAACAAACCAGCAATTAAGTTAAAGGAGATCAGTTCTTTATCTATTTTTAATTTAGTGACTAGTAAGCATATGTAGTTGCTTCTGGATCTATAAAATCACAAACAATTTCATGATATTATTCTCTTCTAATCAAAAAAATGTTTATTAAGCATGGTCATTTTGTTATTAGCCTAAATCCTGATAAAACCTATCTCCTATCCCAAATACACATTATTCTATAGCTCAATAGCTGTGTGTGTCCCTCATTGAAGATTCAGTACGTCTACGTCTTATAAAAACTGTTTTTACAGTTTCCTCGCAATGTTTTTCTGTTTGTAAAAAACGTTATACCGTCGTTTCAAGCACTTGATTGGGCCTAGAGCATCCAGCCCATGTGAATAATAAACACAAAAACTCATGCCGTTGAAAGAAACCAGCACGATGTGTTCATATTAAAAAGTCCCACATCGCTTATACCCAAAGCAATGACTGGGGAAACAGGAGTATATATAAAGAAATGGACGGCTCGAGCAAATCACTTACCTGGACGGGGTCGACTCGCGATCAATAAGACGAGTGGCCTAGGCTAGTGACCGCATTGCACATACCGTTGGGGTGCTATGCTTAAGGTCTTCCCTTGAGGAAGAGCCTACGTCATTATTTGTGGCAGAGGGGGTTTGCGTTCGCGCAGCCCCTACCATTCAATATCAGTCTAAATCTTAATACATGACAAATGTTCTTGTCCGCCCTTGTCGAAAAAAATACCCTGATTTTCTGGCAACTTCTTCCTTACAAGGCCACTTGAAAGATATATCATGAGTCCTTGTTCGCAACACCCATCAATCAATGTATTGTACGTGACCACATCGGGCAGCAACTTCAAATCCATATCATCTATTGATTCAAGAGCTTCCCTGACACTTCCCGCATTGCACGCAACACATTCATCTACATGTTATATATGTGCCAAGATCCTGCAACATGGTAGTTTGCTTCATTAGCTCCACAATCTGAAATGATTTCTTCAATGAACCCATATTCTTACAGAAACCATACTTTCTACACCACTCAATCCATTCCTTGAAATTTATTTAAAGGCTGCCCTTTCTCAAACATTATCTTCAAAGTAGTATTATCGGGCTGAACCTCGAGTTCATTTCTACGGCATCTTCGAACTTGTTCTCTAAGGAAAACCCAAGAACAACCGTTATCAAGACCCTGTTTCTTCTCGATATAAGCTGATATTTTTCAGTTTTCACAACCAATCACTGATCCAAAGAAAGAATAGTTTACAGAAACTTAGCAGCACAACAACATGGCCAATTAAACAAAGCCAGAAAAATGGTATCCTCCCATCAACGGTCACTCTAATACTTGATTCAGATCATAGCTGCAAAATGATTCAATATTGGTGTGTACATATTCTCTGCCAGTAATAACTACGAAAAACCAATCTCTAGCCAATAATAACCACAAAAGACCAAACAAGAAACACCTGAGCTGAATAAGTTTAAATTATAAAAAAAAAAAAACGATAATAGTATTCCCTAAACCAACAAAAAGAGTAGAAACGAGAATACTTTGAATGATACAAGAAGTAGAAACGATTTCAAGTTTCAAGGTACTCGATGCTCTCACTCGGATTCATAAACTCAATGTCACAATATATGTCCGTGTTAGGCTTACTAAACCAGCGATCAGGTATTCCTTTGATTTCAACCTTTTTCAAATCATTGAGTTGCAGATCGTAACAAAGAAAGTAAAAGGGAGAAACCAAATATCGCGGTACCAAGATAACCTTGCCTTTTAGAGTTCCTTTTGCTAGTAATCTATGATTGTCAAAGATTGGATGAAGCTGAGAAGGCTGCAAAACCAGAGTCTTCCTCAACCATTCCTTATTCCTCCAATCTTGCACTACCCATAGATCCACCGTACCCCTCACTTTGAGATAAGTCATGTCAAACACAGCTACTTTTCCAGCATAATCTATTTGAGTCAACCACTTCTTAAGTCTAGGTAGGATCTTATCACCGGCCTTGCGAGGTACTTGAATCATATTGAATTCTTCCGACCTGAAGTCGAAACTCACAAGCACACAAGTATGCATATCAGTCCAAGCCAAGTAATATAAAACTCCATTCATATTCAGTTCATATGGACTAGGAAGATGAGGAGGAAACTCCTTTGCAACCCTTTTCCACGAACCGCCAGCTTCTAGTACAAAGACCCAAAGCTCTGATTCTATCTTTTGCATATCGTTTGACATTGTCGTAATTGTGCAAAGTAGTTTGAGCTGATCTTTAACATGGTCGTGGCCCATAAAGAAGAATATTTCATAATTATCTTCTTCTTCTTCAGCTATGATAACAGATTCTTCCATGGCAGGTAAGATTACAAGTTGTCTGGTGGTGGGGTTATAGATATGCGGCTTAGAGTCAACTGTGAAGCAGATGAAGCCACGGAGAACGCGCAATATGAACCCTCCCATCTTGCGGATGGTAAGATCTTGGTCGAATACTAAGGAGGATGGAAATGTGCTGCTTATTGGAGCGGATGATAGAAGCATAGACTTAGAATCGTTGTAAAGGTCCATAAAAGACATGTAAAGACGAGAATGACGTTGAGATGAGACCATAAGGAAACGATTGCGAAAATATCTCGAGGAGAAAAGAGATGACCAAAAGTTTGAGACACACTTGAATCTCAACACAGATTTCGCAGGCAATCTCGTCAGAATCTCGATCAGGAGATCCAGAGGAATCTCTGGTGCGACCCAAGTTTTTAAATCCTCGACATCCACATGAATCTCTCTGTGATGTCGTCTTCTTCTTTTTCTTCTCATCCTCGTCATTCTCTCCTGTTGTACATTGAGTGCAAGAATAAAAGACAAACCCATATTGCGTCCAACACACAAACTAATATCCTACAAGAAAACCACACCAAATTTTCATCAATTTTCCTCTTTTTTAATAGCAAAACACCATTAAAAAGTTTCCTTGAGGGAGAAGTCACGATTTAGGGGTTCAAGAGTTATGACGACTCTTGATTTTTCTTCTTCTTCTTCTTTTCCTCGGCAATAAGGCGTCGTTTGCCCAAGCATCCGTGGTCTAGTGGCAGAGGAAGCTTTGGGAAAGGGTGAAACTCCCAAACCTGAGTTCGATTCTCCCTGGAAACAAAAACACATTTGTTTGGGAAGTCTGTCAGTTGAGCCTTGGCCCAATTGGTTTACCTGGTAGCTAGAAATGCAGGCGGCCTGACTACCCCCTGGCACTTAGTCGGAAGGCATTCCAAACTCGGGATAGGCAGAGTGGTAGCCCGTAAGGACCTAACCGTTAACACGGTGGACCAGTCCACTATGTAGCACCTTGGTGCGTTCCTACCGGGGCCGACCGGATAGCCGATAGGGTTTATCAAAAAAAAAGGCGTCGTTTACTACCGTTTCGTCTTTTTTCTTCTTTTGTCTCTAGCTGTTTTATTAGGAATAATAAGTATATTTTCCTTTGTTGATAATTACAAATCGTTATACAGTTCCTTAATAAATATATGGTCTTAGAGCTTAGTAATATCATCTAAAATTCTCTCATACTCAATTTGACAGTTTTGTATTTTTTTTTTTATTTTTTTTGTAAAACTAAAGCACCACCCAATCAAGTGACCACATCATGCTGCTTCAACTCCTTCATCTCATCTACAAGATCTACCTAATATCAAAGGTATGTGGCAACAAAAGAACTAGAGGGTATTGACAGTCGCGAAAACCTAGCTAGCTACTTTGAATTTCCATTTTTCATTCAAACAAACTCCGTTTTTGACATCCCAATACATCAACATGTAAGGCTCACGACAACGATTCAATTGTGCCTATTGCCTAAGATTCGGTCATTCCGATGGAAAGTCTTCACGGAAAAATCCACTAGAAAAGTGGTCACAACCACTTCGTCAAAAACAAGTTCCAACACCGAAAACCTGGAAAACCCAACCCAAAGCCTAATTCCAACAATGGAACTCAGAAAAGAAAAAAGAAGTAATCTGGAAAACAAAACAAAAATTACAAACTCAAGTGATAACGTATGAGAATGGCCAAAAAGCCTAAAACTAGTTGTTATTTTTAAACTACATCCATATAGAGTAAAGTGATTTATTAGAAGATTAAGTAATGAATATACATGGGTTTTCACCAAAAAAAAAGTAATGAATATACATGAGCATTCATTATAAAATAAAGAACAAGAATATTACAAAGCATTAAAAACAAAAGATTACAAACTCAGGGAAGAAGGATGATAAGGGGAGGCGGAGTAAGAGTAGAGGCCATGGCGGAGGAGAGCCGGAGGAGGTGGAGAAGATTGCCTCAAGAAGATTGTGACGGTGTTAGCCACCACCACCAAGAACTCCTTCGCTATCTTCATAATCTCTATGCATAGCTTTATTCTCTTTATCAACATCCTCTCTTTCTTTCTCTTTCGCTTTTTTTTTCTTTCTTTAACTTCAAATTCTTACTCCATCATCTTCTTTGGTATTTATAAAAAGTCAAGCATGCATGCCATGTGAATTATAATGGGAAAAATATCATTTAAATCATCGGTTTATCATTTTCGTTGGTTTAAATCATGAACTCTACATCTGGTGATTTAAATTCTTAATTTTATGTTGATTTTCATTTTAATCATGGATTCTCATTGACAAAACCATTTGAGACCCATCGTTAACTGGCTAAACGGATCAATAAGACGATGTCATCGCATAACTGGCACTTCGAAGCCATCACATAATCTTTCTTCTACAGCAACATGGTTTCTATTTTCCTCTTCGTCTGATTGCTCTATTTAGCAAGTTAACGATGTGCCTCAATTGGCTTAGTCAACGAGAATTTCGTGATTAAATTGAAAGTCAACATAAAATTGAAGATTTAAATCACCAGGTCCACATAAAATTGAAGATTTAAATCACCAAGTCCAGAGTTCATGGTTTACAGGTTTTAGTTATTGGCAATTTATAATATATTCCCTCGTTTCATTCTTTACAAGGTGGGAGGTTCGATCCCTCCTTCAAGCGCCACCAGTAACTGGCCCAAGAGCAAAAACTCATGGAGATTGTCACTTGACCTGTCGTAAACAAAACAAAAACATTGTTCCTTTTGTTTGATGACGATGGAGATCCGAGAAAAGATTCAAGTCCGAAAAATAAAGAAAGAAGACATATCCAAGACCGACTACCCCCTTATATAAATAAGGAGGTCTTGATTCGAGAACAGGATCCGCATGGAGAAGGAAAGAAAACACCATTCTTAATTCTAATAGCAACGTGTAAACTTACATTCTTTTGCTAAAAGAGTTTTTTAAAAATACACTGTCCACGAATACCTTATCTTGTAATTCTTAAAGAAAAAATATACAAAATGATAAGAATCTCATTATTCAGGACTAGGTAAAATGGTACTTCTATGACAAAAATAATGCCTAAAACGTAATTACAGAATACAGACTATCAGTCCCAAATCCATAAGAATCTCAAAAAATAATGCATTTTCTTGTTACCCGTCAAAACGGGTTAATGGCACCAAAAATATTGCGCTGGGCCTTCTTAATTTTGAAAGCCCATGTCAATTGCTCTTCCCATTCGTGATGTTATTTGTTGATCCTCAAAATCACACAAGTACGTATTCGGAGTTTTAAGGGCGAAAGAAGAATCTCTTATTTAAAGAACGAGCCGACAATTACAAAAATAGACGAGCTGAAAACTTAGAGTCCGAGCCGAGCCGCAAAGTGCTCTGACGGTTGTACGATATTCTCTGTAAAGCGGTTATTTCGGGATCCCTGTACAATCATTATTTTTTGCTATTTATAGGGTGCAAAAGTAGGGTACACTGTTCGTGCAAAATGTTCTTTTTGCCCTTTGGTCGGTGGAAGAATGAATCTGGGCCTTCCTTTGGCCTCTGCTAGGCCACAGGGAAGCGTGGGCCCGTTGAAGGGTTTAGGCCCGTTAAGGGGTTTGGGCCCGAGCCCAAAATCCACCATCAACAGTAGCCCCCCAACCCTAGTGCGTAGTGATGACGCGGCTAGGGTTGCAATCATTTCGCCGTTCTCGTTTCGACTTCCTTCGCATATTCTCGAGCCGCGTGTGATGGACGCTCTCTTCTGATTCGTCTACTGCCGCTCCCGAGGCATTGAAAAACGGGTCGTTCGCGAGTTGCAGGCGACGAAGGTGTGATGATTACGCCGTTCTTCGAGACGCAATGATGACGCGGTTTTTCTTCAACCGACTCCCTCTATAAATACTTCGCTTCCTCATCATTCCTTTCATTCTTTCTCCGCATCAATTTCAAAGGTATTCTCTCTGTTCTCTCTTCTTTTCACAGCGCGTCTTTTCTTATTTTCCGATTATTGTTGGGGTCGGATTTCATCCCATAGCACCGAGCCGAACTTCGAACGCCTCAGGGAACTTCTGAAGACACCTCGGTGAAGCGAGCCGTTCACCTCAGTGCAAACTGCCATTCACCACGGTGAAGCGAGCCATTCACCTCGCTGCAAACTGCCATTCACCTCGGTGCAAACTGCCATTCACCTCGGTGCAAACTGCCATTCACCTCGGGTCACTGCATTGGTTGCCTCGGGGAACGCCCGTAGTCTGCTCGGGGTCTGTCAGCAAGCTTGTGAACCCGAGCCGGCTCCCTTCAAGTGCCTGAGCCGGTTCACTCCGGGAATTCGAGCCGGTTCGTGTCGAGACCCCCGAGCTGGCTCCTTCCGTGGACCCGAGCCGGTTTCTCTCGGGAACCTGGGCCGTGCCTCTCTTGTCCCCGAGCCGATTGCACAAGTCACCCGAGGCAAAGACTTGGTAAAATATTCGTCTTCAAAGTACCATTTCCAAGTAGGTCGTCATTTCCGAAAGAGAAGGATCATTTCCGATAAACCCGGAAATGATAAGGAAGAATCTCAAAGGATCGATTCAAATCAGGATATCTTCCAAGAAACTCCGCAGAATAAGGAAATTATCCTTATTCCGCGATATTCTAAGCCGACTTCAAGATAAATGGAAATCTTCCGAGAATATCGTGGGAGAGGCGGTTTATCACCCCTATATAAAGAGATTCAAGGCTCTCGTAGAAAGCAAGCAATATCGCTCTAGAATTTACACTACGCAAAGCTCTCACAGCACAAACACCTTTTTCTTTTACGATCAAACTCTTGTACGATCAAAGTCATCTTTTTCTTAATAAAATCAAGAACACCATCTTTGGTTTCAATCCGTTCTGTTGTTCTTTGAGAATTCACGTTTATTGTATCCCTAAAATAAAACCCTAGACAAATCTCGATTGTGCTAGTTTCGACTTCCACAGTTTGGCACCGCCTGTGGGGATTACTTTAGAATTCTCTTACTCTAAGACGCAGAACTCGATTACCGAAAAGGACGATGAACGAAGATGGTCGTCAGACACCACCAGCCGGAGGAGGGATCCCGAACCCTCCGAACCCTCTGAATCCTCAAGCCGATCCGACGATCATAGCGACTCTAGTCGAGCTGAAAGACCTGATGGTTAAATTCCAGAAGAAAGCTGACGATCAAGAGAAAGCTAACAAAACCTTGGCGCAGCGAGTCGACGAAATCGCAACACGTGGGCAACAAAAAACCACGCGTTTCCAGACTCGGCCGCCACGAGCTCGGAGGGACTTACCTGGCATCAACCCAACAAGACTCACGTTCGCGACACCAACCGGCAACACCAGAGTCGCAACCCGAGCCGACCCTGCCAGACGCGAGAACCAAGATGATCCCACCGAGCCAGACGCAGTGGACTTGACAGACGAGCCAGATGATCTGCAAGATGAGCGTACCCGAGCCGGAGCTAACTCCGCCGAGCGTTAGATCTCACCGACGATGAAGAAACTGAGGAAAACATAAGGTGGGCCGAAGAATCCGAGAGAGAGGACGAGCTAAGCAAGATCCGAGCCTCCCTAGCCAAGGCGGAAGCTGATATAAAGCTCGTCAAAACCCAGATACATAGCGTTTCGTCCTCTGCACCGAACATCGACCGAATT